GATGGCCGGTCAGCTCGCTGGCTGAGTGTGGTTGAGATGACACCTTGCTGAAGGTTACAAACCCCTTACTGGTCAAAAAAAAACAAAACAGAACTGTAAAAAAATTTACTTAAAATGAAAACAGGGATCTCAATTGTTTTAATAAAATATCTAGGGGCCGGCCCAGTGGCGCCCTGCTACAGTGCGCCGCCTGGGAAAGTGCGGTGGTGCTCCCGCCGAGGGTTCGGATCCCACATACAGACCAGTTCCCGCTCACTGGCTGAGCGAGGGGCGGGCGCAGCACCAAGGGTTGCGATCCTGTTGCCGGTCCCGGTCCGGTACGGGCGCGACACTGAGGGTTGCGGTCCGTTGCCGGACACGAAAAAAGACAAAAAAAAAAAAAAAAAAATCTAAATTTATAAATGTATTGAGAATAATCACTGCAAAATCTAAAGGCACAATTAAACTTAACTAGACTCTTCCAAAAGTCAAAACAGACTTTAAAACACACTGAGTTAAATACTTACTGAAATGATCAGGTGATCCCAGAGTTGAAAATACACAAGTCAAGAACTGAAGTCGAACTTGAACTTCGGCACTATGGCTGTACCTATAATTAAAAAATCATTGAAATAATTAAATGAATTATCCCATTTCTTAACTTTTTAAATAGATTTAATGGTCTTAATCATAACTTTTACAAAAGGAGAATTCCATTTTAATAATTCATAATCTTAATTGTTAATTATACATTTGCTACACAAAAAGTTTATAAAGCCAAGTGTTATATTTGAAATTTATGCTATTCGATAAATTTGTTAAACCTCCAAACTACAACAAAATTACTTTCAAATTAGATGATGAGAAGGCACAAAAGAACAGAGGTAATATATCATTTTAAAATTATGTAACATGCACATAAATTCAAATGGTTAACAAGTAAAAAACCACATCTTTATCTAAAAATTGCATTTTTCAAATCTTTGTTCCCATAAAAATACTATATTTCTTAAACAACACTAATATCATTTCCAGAAATCTAGTTCATAAAGAATATAGCTGATTCAAAATTAGCATTTTTGAATGTTATTTCAAATCTAAACAAGTATAATTCATGTGTACAAGATTCAATGGTTAATATAAGACTTGCTGTGGTGTTACAACACCAAGGTCAAGTATTCAGATCCCCATACCAGCCAGTCACCAAAAAAAAAAAATGTTGCTTTGGAAGTTTGCTAAGTTAGGTAACTTCACATGGTTCTACAGAATTTAGTTTGTGGGCATTTGCAAAGGACTAGCAACTGTTAGTCAGTGAGGAAGGGCAGAAGATGGTTCTGAAGAGGCAGACAAGGGTTAGACTGTGTCCAGCCAGAATATCAGAAAGAAGAGTTTGGTACTGTTCTGGACAGAAAAGAAATTCACTGGAGGCTTCTGGTCAAGATGGCAGAATAGACAGTCCCCAGCGTCACTCTCTCCCACAAATCAACCAATTTACAACTATAAGAAAGCAACAAGAGCCAAGCTGGGGCCACTGAAGCTCAGGGGAAGAGGAGGAGAGACCAATGGAATGCATGAAGGTAGGAGAAGCCATGATGAGAGAAAGAAAATACTGCTCCAACCATTTTGTGTGGCAGCCACTTTAAGGCTGAAGCTGATGAGTGCACAGAGCAGGAGCCAGCAAAAGCTGCAGCTGTGCCTTTCAGATGAAGTTGCTTGGAGGTGGCAGGAGAGAAGAGGACTTTGGTAGCCCCCAGGCCAGCAAGACCACTAATTGGGTTCCCATGGACCCACAAAGGAGCAAGGAGCCACAACAACTGAAAATAAGGAGCCACTCAGAGGCCAGTGAGTCATCACAAGGGACTGGTGCATGGCCCATCCCACAGGAAGTGTTTGCATCACAGGCGGTGGGGGAGACGGGCCCATCAGGGGAAAACTGGGGCACAGCAAGGACAGCTGATCTGCACCGCAATCAGCGTAGGGCCACTCAGAGGAGACTGGTCAGGAATACAGAACTGCACGGGGTGCAGTTTGATGATGACTCAGGCCTAGATCACAACCTAAGTGCACTGGGTCTCTGGAGAGCCGGAAATACCTATGAAGTCAACCATTTAAACCTGAGCTGCACAAAAAGCCTTCTGTAGAGAAACAGCAGCAAAGCAGCAATTTAGCTAAACCACAGAGCTCAAGTGCTGGTCCCCACAGGAAGTCCCCCCATTTTAGAAGTAAACAAAAGACAAAAAAATATTTCCGGCCCAGACCCACTACCAGTGCCTCAGGACCCGCCCGGGGACTGGAGCCGGGCACCAGACCCCCACCCCTCCCACAACCAGGTACACTGCCAACACCTCAGGGCCCACCCAGGGACCTGAGGCATGGAGCCAGGGATTGGACCCCCTTCCCACAACCAGGCACAATGCCTCCGCCTCAGGGACCCCCCAGGGACCAGAGGCATGGAGCTGAAAACCAGACCCCCCTTCCCACAACCAGGCATACCGCAAGCACCAAGGAGCATGCCAAAAACATCACCTCCATTTGGGTGGCACACCACAGCCACCACCATAACCACAGCTGCCATGAAAGCAGCTAGACACCACAACCACCATGCAGATGGTCCACCAGCCACTGAAGTGCATTGACACAAGGAGAGTCACCAGCAGAGACCAAAGAAAAGAAGAGGATGTCTCTCTCCACAAAGCCTATTCCAGCGTAACAGAAGAAGCATCTGCTCTATGCTAATATTGGGGGACCTGAACACACCTCTCAACATTGGATGGATCATCTAGGCAACAAAATTAACAGGGTAACCATTATTCTTTCAGGAGGATAGAAGAAATGTAGGGTAATTAGAGGGCGGAGTGGGAGGGAATGAGGGAAGGGGAGAGACTGGACAAGGGGCATAAAGAATAATTATGATTTGTGACAATATATATGCTAGTAATATTGATTTAATCAACATATCTCAATGTTCGATCCCAAAAATATGTATAATCGATTTTGATTCAATAAATAAATTTTTTAAAAATTAAAAAAATTTTTTTAAAAAAAGGAGAAAAGAAATCTAGGGTAATTAGAGAGGGAAAGGGGGAAGGAAACAGGGATGGGGAGAGATTGGACAAGGGGCATAAAGAATAAGTACGATAAAAATTAAAAAAATTTTTTTAAAAAAAGGAGAAAAGAAATCTAGGGTAATTAGAGAGGGAAGGGGGGAAGGAAACAGGGATGGGGAGAGATTGGACAAGGGGCATAAAGAATAAGTACGACTGGTAACAACATATATGTTAGTAATATTGATTTGATCAACGTATCTCAACATTGAACCCCAGAAATATGTATAATCAATTATGATTCAATAAAACTTTTAAAAAAAGAAATTCACTGAAGGGCATTGGCAGGGTCACAATAGGGGTGGCAGTGATGGTAATCCTCAGGTTTGTGTTTTAGGGTTCCTTTAGCAACTCAGTGAATTTACGTGTGGAACAGCATCTGTGATATCATAACATTCTAGTTGTCACAAGCACTTGAGCACCTAGTGAATAAGACTAAACCAATCAGGAGATCTTATCTCCATGTCACAGGCTCTTATAAGACCTGTGTTCATTTTTTGGCACTTCATATTAAACTTTCTCTTTATGAAGGTGATTCATCTGTCTTCCACTCCCCCTCTTAAGCCTCTAATTCCTGCTCTTCAAGTCCACAGGTTTATGGTTGTAGTGGGAGCTCTTTTGTAACCTAGTGTTATTTCTCTACAAAGAGGTAATTTGAATTCTCTGTCTACTAAAAATGCTGAAGAAAAATGGGTCATGTTGGTTTCATTTCTGCTCCTTACTGATCCTGTGATTTTTATGGAGGATGTACAGAGATGCTCAGATTCAGGAAAGCACCATTATCCTCAAACTCTGCTTCAAGAGGAACTAAGAAAGACATAGACTTGGAAGAACAGTTAGAATTTTAATAAAATTTTTAAAAGACTGCATCCTGTGTAGAGGGAACTTTGTAATAAAAGCTGTAAGATTAGTGAATTTGAGAAAATACCTCCCCAAAATATAATAGGCTTGTAGAATAAGCTGCCTAAAGAAATTACTGGGCAATAAAACTAGAAAGGTTAATTGAGTTTAGATCTTATAAGGCTCAGAATACTAGTCCGAAGCGATAGGTATTTTATTTTTTATTCAGTGTAGAAACTAAATGGGGGTATGGCACAGAATTGTTTGTTTCATACCATATGTGAGTACTATTTATTTTAGCTAGGTCACTACAATTTATAGATAATCTACTACGTACCAGGTGTCATCTGCTACATCATTTAATTTTTACAAAAATGTATAAGGTAAATAATTGGAATTTATTAGAGGTAAGTAACTGAAATAAGGTTAAGATAATAGATTCATAACCTAAACCCAGGTCTGTATGATTCTCAAGCCCATGTGCTTTCCATCAATATCATATTGCCTTCCTAATTTGACAGGGATAAGGAATGAACCAGCATGGGGGAAGACTGAGGCAAGACTCACGTGGAGGTTGGTTATCAGTACGAAAGCGGTGTTTCTGGGAATGTCAACTTGTGAAAAGGCATGGGGTATATTTTAGTATTAGGATAGGCAGAAATTGATGGCAGTATAACACAGCACTTAAGAATATGAGTTCTAGAAACAGATTGCCTAGGTACAAATTCTGGCTCCACTCTTTATTAAATATGCAACCTTGGGCAAGTTATCATCAGTATTCTCATTAGCAAAATGAGACCATCTACCTCAAATAGGTTATTGTGTATCTTAAACAAGTTAATACCTAATTAAGTAAATGATATCTTAATTAAATGGCAATTGGCACACAGTAATATCAATGAACACTGGCTATTTTTTATCATGATCATCATTATCCATGTTTAAAAATAAAAAGATATTAAGAAACCCCATATCTCCAAGTTTTAGGTGACTTGGAGAATGGTGATACACTGAAGAACAAAGTAAAATCTGGAGAATAAAATTATTTCCGGGGGGAAATAAGTGAATTCATTTTGGAAGTGAATAAGTATACCTTAATGTCAATGATTTTTCTAAACACACTGCTCAGTTTCCAGTTATGTGATGTTTTCTATGTGGAGATTTTCTCAATCAACAGTGTGATTCCTCTTACTCATGGATATGCTGGTACTGACACTGAACTGGTTTCTTCAACTTGAACATCAGTTGACACCAACTGGCTCACCAGCAGAAACTTTCTGAATTTTACATGCACCTCCTCATAAAAAACTTTAAACATAGTTATACCACAACTAATGGATTTCCACCAATTCTTATCCCAAGACACTTGAATATATTCAGAGAATATTTTTGATATATTTCATATGATAAAATTTTAATCAGTTGTACCACCAGTTTTTAAACCTTCCATATGTCCTAAACTATTTAATACTAGTATCATATATAACAAAGTAAAATATTTTAAATTAACTTTACAAGTAGTCTTCAAAAAGTTCATGGAAGGATTTGTATTATCTTTTAATTCTATTTTCCATGAAACTTTTTGAAGTACCTCATATGTTAAATTTCTTTTTTGGAAGTAAGTATTTACAAATTTTAGAATCAATGCTTTAATTCATTAAGACAAGGATATTGATAATTTTTGAAAAATGTATTTACTTTTGATTCCTCGAAACAATGACTCTGAGCAACTCTCAATAGTGATGGTTAAACAACCCCCAAAAGTTTCATGAACTACATTTCCCTAAGAATTATAAGAGTAACCTAATAAAAATCTTTCAATATAAAAAATTCTATCAGCCTTCTTTCTCTTATAATTTTATACAGATAAGATTTTCTGTTACATTTATTTACTACATGAAAGATAAAAAGTAGGAACACTGGAAAATTATCTTTCAGAGGAAAGACAATCTATACATAAACATCTGACCCAGTTGAGAGGTACTTACAGTGCATGTTTTTGCCTTCCTTCTCTTACAGCTTGAATGTAGTATACCAAATTATCAAAGAAAAGCTTCATCATGTTCAGTTCTTTTTCTGCCCACCTGGCCCAATTAAAGGGAAAAATAATTTTAAAGGGTACAGAGTAAGAGAATAAATCTATGCCATGACAGAAAAAAAAATGTATTTCTAAAAAAATCTTCAAATGCAAAATGTTTATATTATCAAAAACCTATAAGTTTTATTTATACTCAAATGGTGAAAAGATATAAAGCAATGCTCCTTAATTTTTATGAACTTAAAGTACCATTTTTTAATCTCAAAATACACAATACCTGTGAAGGGGATAAAATACCGGACAGAGTGCTATGATAAATAACTAATATGAGTTAATATTAAAATCATATCATCCTGTATAAGAATGTGCTATGCACCTTCATCACTATCTAGCAGAATCTAACAGTATGTCTGGCATACAGAAGGCATACGATATAAATTTAAAGAATGAATCTTTTTTTTTTTTTTTGGTCTTTTTCGTGACCAGTAAGGGGATCGCAACCCTTGGCTTGGTGTCATCCGCACCGCGCTCAGCCAGTGAGCGTACCGGCCATCCCTATATAGGATCCGAACCCGCGGTGGGAGCGCCACTGCACTCCCAAGCGCCGCACTCTCCCGAGTGTGCCACGGGCCGGCCCAGAATGAATCTTTTTTTAATTGTCAGTAATTTAACAATTTTTTTTGAGTCAAAGATATATGCAGGTGTTAAGCTCCAAAATAAGCTAGAAAAATCAGAATGAAAATAGAAACAGTGACAAATACATTCAGTGATCCCAGGGTCCATAACTTCCATAACTGATGTATTTCGCACATTTATTAGCAATTTATCTGCTAAAATGTATAGATATAGAAGAATCAAAACTCCAAAAGGTCTAATGTAATTTATATCATGTCTTTGTTATGGCCTTATTTTCAATATAAGTTACTCCTGCCTTGCCAATCACTCAGTGAAAGTCAAAAGGTAGAAAGAAGAAAACATTCAGTAAGTCTTGGGGGTCTATACACTTGCCACATGTCTTCAGGAAAGTAACTGACCACTTGAAGTCAGTTTGCTGATTACCAGACTTACTAAAAGAGTCAGAGGATAAAGGTTTCCAATTTTAAAATACAGGCCATTAGAATGAGTTTAAGAGACATAAAATGCACAAAATGTTGACTGCTGCTATATATAATAAATTCAAAATAAATGGAGATTTTTGTTATTGATGCCAACCACAGGAGCTTAGAGTTCTTTTAAGTGATTTGCTGTATAAGATTAAGGACATCCGTCTCATGTTGTAATGGAAACCCTGTTAATTGACCTTACCTGAGCTTATTTACATTTAACTTAAGGAACAAACTAAAAAAATTTCAACTCAATATACTTAGGTTTAGGTCTGATAAGTAACTGAATATTAAGAGATTGCCACTTTTGCATAAGAATGTTACTCCTAAATATGAATCGCTTCAATTGGCTACAATATAATATGACACCCACCTGCCCAGGTAAGCTCCAAGTGAATCCCTTTACTTCTTTAGAATTTTTGTAATTCATCCATTTAAAAATTATTGGAAGAGTCAATGAAAGAGAACTCACACTATTCTTGTACTTCAGTGATGCTAAATGCTTCCCCCACCCTCTCTTTTTAGCATCTCAAGGACCTTTGTTGCACTCATGAACAAAACTATCTGTAGATTCATACTGCAATGTTAGCCAAAGAAAGATTTTATGAGATACTTCTTAAAAAAAAAAGACATTTAGATTAAACATATCCTTTCTTAAAAAGAACAAAGAACTAACTTCATTCAATCTGGAATTACAGAACAGACTTCTAAGAAGTTAAAAAATTATATTCAATTTGCAAGCAAACAAGTTTTCTTACTACCTAGTCTCAGATTTGAGATGGAAGCAGAGAAAAGCCATCTTACTTGACCTCACAAATGAATCTTTCAACAGGTCTAATTTTTTCTGAAATGCAAATATCTCCAAAATCTCTCTGAAAGTTTATTTTGAATAAAGTAAATAACACATTTTCTTAGATTAACTGCTTGTAGTAGCCAACTTTCTCTAGTATTACCCCAAAACAGGATCAATTTCACATCCAATTACTACCCCTGAAAGAATTCTTTTAACATTCGTAAATTATAAGTTCTCTATAAATGTAAAGGAGTAATAGGGTGATGTCAAGATTATTCCTAATGTGATGTTATATCTAGAATCAATTCCTGGAAACGGGAAACATCAAAGGCATCCAAGAATGTTTATCTTAGTGTGAACCTTCTTCAGGAGTCCTCTGCTCTATGGTTTTATATTCTAAAACTCTTCTCCCTAAAATTACAGTACTACTTGCTACAGTATTGTTTTCAAACTACAAAGAATACAAAAGTCAGATTTTCCTACTGATTGAGATGTAATCTCCAAGGGGCTAATTGGCAGAGAAACCTAAAAAAACATTTAAACCACATGAAACTCAAATTTTCCTGGTGCAGAGTAAAAGCTGGTTAAGTTATTCAAAACCCTGACAAATAATTATAATTTGAAAAAAATCTTGAAAATAAATACACTTCATTTTATTTACTTACATTGTAATCCAATGTGTATCGTAACTACTTCCAAACTGCTGAAAGGTACCAAAAAGTTTTGGAAGAAGCCGAAGGGAAATTACTACTGATCTGAAAGCAAAAACAGATATATGCAGAATAAAATAACTTTATTATCAGTGATTCTAGCTTTTTACAGAAATTCAGCTTCTTAACATCTAAATGCAAAAGGATTTAATGAACTTCACATACATATTCCTTGATCAAACATTAAAAGAATTTTTTTCTAAAGTATAGATTCATTTTATACATTATACATTAGGGCAAGAAATCGAAGTTTTAAAATTCCAATCCAAGACTTTTAAAAGAAAACATCCCTTACTGGCCACAGCCCCACCGCCCCCTAAAGAAATATACTATAAATGTCTGGATATAAAAGCAAGTGAAGAGCATTTAATGGTAGTTTTTTCCCATGAAAGTATTCTTTAACAAGTCATTGCTACCACTTTCTCCCCAATTCTCACTAAGATTCACATCAAAGTTGAGAATCACTGCCATACTACACATGTTAACAATGGAAGCATGCCAGATACCTCAAAAGCATGAAGAAGCAGAAAAGGGAAAGGATATCACTCTAAAACCCTGTGAATGTGCCTATCTGATAGGAACAAGAATAGGGAAGATACCGACATACAAATCCTGGAATTAGGAAAGAGGTTGACTGCATGAGCCTTAAAGTAGTAGGACAAATTCTAACGAGGAGCTGAATTTTTTTTTAAGCTTAGGAGCCAATATTGGTTCATAAAAGAATTTTTTAAAAGAGAGAAGTTGGCACTCCACCCACAAGTATCATGTACAATTAAGTTCCCAACAATACCTACTTTTTGAGAAAAGTACCAGGGATATCAAAACACAAGGTTGCACTTCTTGAGTGGGAGGGAAATAGTGGTAACACCCAGTAGGAGAAATCAGAGAGAAAACATCCTCTTTCTGAATAAAAAGTACTTAAGTTGGCCTACACAGCAAGGTGTGATCTGCCCCCATTCCTCCCATCAGTCTAATTTAATTTCATTCTAATCCTCCTCTTTGTTATTCCTTCAATCCTGCCTCAGGGCCTTTGCAATGCTTCTACTTGAAATGTTCTTTACCTAAATATCTATCAGCAAGCCTCCTTCCCCTCACATAGGTTTCCTCAACTGTCAACAGAAAGGATGACCCTGACAACACCCTTCCACTGCCCCAGGAACCACTTTATTCCTCTCACCCTGATTTTTTTTTCATTCACCATCACCAAATGAATATTTCTTTATTTAATGTGTCTACCACAACAAAGTGATCTACAAGAGCAAAAACTGTCTTATTCATTAAAAATCTCTATATATGGTGCACACTGAATATATATTTACTTAAATAATAAATCAGCAAAGAACTTAAAGGCAAGATTTTCGAGGAAGCAGCAAGACTAACAGTGTAAAATGCTACACAAGTTATGAAAAATGAGGACAGAAAAAAGTACTACCAGATGACAAAAGAAACAGCATGTTAGCAGAAAGTTAGAGGACCAGCCAGCCACACATTGCTATAAACTAAGGAATACATAAGGAAGTAATGTAGACAGTAAGTGCCTGATATCAAGTACTAAGTAAATATGTTGTGAAATACTTAACATATATATTTTTAAATTTTAATGTATTTGTTAATACTTTAAACTTTTAAATATTTTTAAACCAGATGCAACGGAATAGTTCTTGGGAAAATGGGCCATGGAGGATCAGGGGAATCAATTTTAGATTCTGGGCTGGGCAGTTAGCACAGTCTTGTAACACCAAGGTCAAGGGTTCGGTTCTCCATACCAGCCAACTGCCAAAAAACCCAATTTTTTTTAGATCCTTTATCTAAAATCCTTTATCAAAATTTCAGAAACATTAATGGGAGTTTTCCCCTAAAAATTAAGACATAAAAAACTAGAACCTATAGACACTGATTTGATCTATGTTTTTACAAGCATAAAATCAATAGGTGATATCACAAAAAGACATAGAAAAATGTTAACTTGAATCACAAAAGCAAATTTCAAAATTGCTTACATAGTGTGATTTCAACAATGCTCTTAAAACAAAGACTGAAAAAGAGATATCATTTCTTATTTCCTGTAAGAAGAAACTTACAGTGGTATTACTGCGTAACAGATCTGCAACATAAACAGCGCTATTTTAGACAAGCCCAAGTACAAAACTGAGCAGTCCACCTCCCGCCCCGCCCCCCATTCTCTTTTACAAGAAGCCGCACGGTTGCAGAAAAAAATGAAACTTTCCACATTTCTGCATGCGCAGAACTCTCCATCCCCATAACCTAACTCAATACCCACCCTGGAATTACATCACCCAGCTCTTGGTGCCAACATACCTATATAAGCTCTACCACCCCCACACCCCGGCTGTCCTCCATTTTGAGTACAGCCTGGCAGGTTTCTTTCTTTAATAAAGGTTGAACGGTACCCGGCATCTCAGCTCACTTTCTTTCACTATGGTGCCGAAACCCTGGAAGGGTTCTGGCCAACGTTGTGGACAATCCCCTCTCCCTTGTGGTGACTGGCCCTCGGCCACCCATACCAGACCTGCCGGAACCGGGTACACTCAGGACTCTCTCTCCTTTTCCCATTTCAGACCAACGCATCCAACATTGGCCTCAATTCAGGGTGAGTCAGTGGGTCTGTCCTACCTACTTCTACGGGTTCCCCTGACTACTCTCTATGTCTCTACGAAGCCCAGGCGCCTGGCCGAGGGAACTCTTCTCATGCCCCCCAGCTATTGAAGGATGCTTCATTAGCAGGTCATGGCTTTTCTCTTGAAAAGAAGGTGGAGAGCAGAGGACGCTCTTTGTTGGCATGCTTCTTCTACCAGAACTGACTGCCCTTTCTCACCCTCTAAATGGGATCCCCACAATCCAAACCTCTACGCTCTACGCCCTTGGGCTGTCTCCTGGCCAATTTCTTGGCCTCCAGGGAGACATTAAACCTAAACATCTTGTTTTCTACTGTACTCCATGCTCTACGCCTCTGGGCTATCTCCCGGCCAATTTCTCGGCCTCCAGAGAAACACTGAAACTCAAACACCTCATTACAATGGATCCCAGTGGCCACAAGATGGCACTCGATTTAGACACTCACCAAAGCAGCAAAAGCTGTAGAGATTCCTTGTTCAGGCCTTCTCCTATCTCTGAACGTGTTCTTCTCTCTGTCAAAACTGTCCTATGTCTCAAATTCTCCTAGCTCATGCTCGACCTTGCCTTCCAGACTCAGATCAATCTTCTGATCTGTCAGCCCTCCACATTTCTCTCTCTTCCCGACACCTGGCCTCCAGACGCTCATCCTCACCCCAACTCCTCCCCTTCTCCCCCTTCATCAGGTAACAACCCTGCTTCAGCTCCAGCTTTTTATAACCCTTCTGTGAAGTGGCTGGAATGGAAGGAATTGTCTGAGTCCATGTACAGTGAGCAGCTCAGGTACATGCTCAAAATAATAGGTGGCCGTTAATAATAATAGGTGGCTATTATTAATAGGCCGATAATAATAGGTGGGAGCCATTGCTGTTCCTTGCACAAACCCAAATTGGAACTACCAGGCCAGCCACGGGGATCAGGATCTCCAGGATAACATGATCACAAACCTACTTCATGGTCTCCAAGAGGCTACTCACAAGTCAGTCAATTATGACAAGCTTAGAGAAATCACACAGAGATGCACTGAAAATCCCAACAAGTTCCTAACCTGCCTCTCTGAGGCTACACATGAATACACATGTATAGATTCAAACTCCCCTGCAGGCATGGCCTTCTTACACTCTCATTTCGTTACCCAATCAGCCCCTGATATTAAAAAGAAACTATAAAAGAGATCAGGCCAAATGCCAGCTCCTGGCTAATGCCACCAGTGGCTCACATACTCCAAAGCTGGCTGCCTCTAGAGGCAAGACACCTGAGAACTGCTTCAAATGTGGTCATCCAGGCCACTCGGCACAGGCCTGTCATAACCCATCCTCACTGCAAACAGCCAGCTCAATGGGGGATTGACTGTGCCACCTGCCAGAGAGGGAGTGGCCCAGTCCCCAACCTACAGCCTTTGGCTTCACGGCCAATTCTACCACAGCTTCTAGGCTTTGTCCAGGAGGAGGACTGGTGATGCCCAGGGCCCAAGGCCCCCACGGAGATCACCACCCATGAGCCCAGGGTAACTCACCTTGTAGCAGGTAAACTAAACAGATCTCTTTTGTCATCAGTACAGGGGCCATTGACTCTACCCTTTCAGAATATACAGGACCAACAACCCAGTCCTCTTTCACAACAGTAGGGGCCATGAGATCAGAATACCACCCACGGATCATGTAAACCCTTTCCTGCACTCTAAATAACACCCAATTCACACACAAATTCTTAATAATGCCTCAATGCCCAGCCCCCTTACTGGGACGGGACATTCTTTTCAAATTCAAAGCTACTCTTACCCTAAACACTTTAACTCCATCTACAATACTCCTGTTACAGGCCGCATCCAGACCTGGCCCCTGGGGCTTCAACCTTCCCCTCCCCCTCAGACAAGGTTAATCCCTACTATAGGACACTTCTTCTCCCTCCATTGCTACATCCCATTCCCCTATCCTTATTAAGTTATGGAACCCCTCTTTGTTCCCTGATGTCCCACTGTACCCTATCATTAACAAACACCTAATATGGTTAAAGCCCCTTATAAACAAACAAGCCCCTTTCTTCTCATCTCTCACGGCCTCCCCACTCACCTTTCAATACACCCATCCTTCTGGTTATAAAGCCTAACGGCTCACACCATTTAGTACAGGACTAATCCTGACACACGCTGTTCCCAACAACTCACCTGAAAAGTACTACCTCAGGGGTTTTGGGATAGCCCCCACTTTCCCGCCAGGCCTTAGCTCAAGACTTATCTGAACTTCCCCCAACCTCTAGCACTTTAATACAATATGTGGATGACCTCCTCCTTTGTAGCCCCTCCTATGAGGATTCGCAGGCCCACACTGTTGCTCTCCTTAATTTCCTGGCTTCCAGGGGATATCAAGTGTCCCCCAACAAGGCCCAAATTCCTTCTCCTTCAGTTCAAG